CCCCCCGCGCCAGCTGCCCAATTAGGACATTCTTTCCCCTGGGATGCGGCCCTGGCACTTAGCAGCAATTAGGGGCGTCCGGGGGCCGGGGGAGCCACGTGCCGGCAGCTCCGTGGAGACGGGCTCAATGGGGCTCGCGGGGGCAGGAATCCGGCTGCACAAAGGGGCCCCCCCGGCTCCCCCGCCCGGCCACGCGGAGCGGTTAGAGCAATTGCTGGGAATTGGAGACTTAAGTGTGAGGTCAAAGTGTGTCCAACCCCCCCGCACCCCCCCCCCCCACCAGGGCCTGGGCCCATCTCCCCCGGCGTCCTGCCCCCCGCATCAGCTCCTGGGCCCAGCCCCTTCCCTGCCCCCCCAGATCGGACTCACGGGCCCATCTACTCTGGTGTCCAGCCCCTTCCCTGCCCCCCCATCAGCGCCTGGGCCCAGCCCCTTCCCTGCCCCCCCAGATCGGACCCACGGCCCATCTATCCCGGCATCCAGCCCCTTCCCTGCCCCCCGGATCGGACCCACGGCCCATCTACCCCAGTGATCGGACCCGTAGGCCCCTCTTGCCTCCAGCAGAGGGTGGCAGACACCCTCCCCCCTACACACAGACACAGACACACATCTGCTTCCCCGCAGTTGGCTAAGCCACCCCCCCCCCCACCTTGGCAAACACTGCCCCCCCTTCCTGGCTGGGGGAGATCAAAGCTCACCCGCCCCCCTCCCTGGCTCCCCTGCCCTTCGCAAGCAGGCAGCAAAATAAACTCAGGCTGGGAACAATGTCGCCTCTCATGTTAGCAGGGCCTTGCGGGGTGTGTGCACGGGAGGGAGGTCAGGGGGGCAGCGACCGGGGCCCAGCGAAAATCCTCTGAGCGAGGAGGCCAGGACGCCTGGGTTCTCTCCTGGCTCTGGGAGGAGAGTGGGGGCTAGTGGTTAGAGCAGGGGGGCTGGGAGCCAGGACGTCTGGGTTCTCTCCTGGCCCTGGGAGGGGAGTGGGATCTAGTGGTTAGAGCGGGGGGAGGGGCTGCGAGGAGTGGGAGGGTGTCTCTGTCTGTCTGGCCCCTCGCTGGTCTTTGGTGGTTTATTTTTCCACCAGGCCGGAGCCAAGCCGCCGCTGACGGGGGGAGCGCTGGGGCTGGGGCTGGCACCGGGAGGGAACCCCGCTGTCCCCCTGGCCCAGACCGAGGCCAAGGCGGACATGAGCTGTGCCCAGGAATTGCGCGGCCCGTGGCCGTCACGCCTCGGCAGCAGGGCAAACGGCGCGCCAGGGCTGGCAGGGCGGGCGAGGGGGGGAAGAGAAGGGGAGGGAGCCGCAGCCCTAAGGGTGGGTGGGTAGGGGGAATGAACTGGGGGGGGGG